TACTATTACGACTATACTACTACTACTACTACCACTACTACTACTACTACTACTACTACTACTACTACTACTACTACTACTATAACTACTACTACTACTACTACTACTACTACTACTACTACTACTACTACTACTACTACTACTACTACTACTACTACTACTACTACTACTACTACTACTACTACTACTACTACTACTACTACTACTACTACTACTACTACTACTACTACTACTACTACTACTACTACTACTACTACTACTACTACTACTACTACTACTACTACTACTACTACTACTACTACTACTACTACTACTACTACTACTACTACTACTACTACTACTGCTACTGCTACTGCTACTGCTACTGCTACTACTGCTACTCTACTACTGCGAGTACTCGGATTAATTGGCGCACGTGCCATGTCGAATGACAAGAACTACCAATCGAAGAACTAACCGGGCCAACCGTCCAGCCAACCCTGGCCAGCCCCCTTGGCCAACCCCAGCAAAGCGTAGTGGCCAACCATTCCAGCCAACCTGGGCTGGGGTAGTTCCATAGGCCATAGAAGTACTGTCAGCACTGCCAGAATAAGTCCTGCCTTGCGTTTCCCAGAGCACGAACCTAGCGCTTGGGGTTGGCACTGTGGTAATGTGGTGCGAGTTTCGGTCGGCATGGTGTGAGCGAGAGTCGGCGCTTGCAGCGGGTTTCAAGATCGGCTTGCTATTGGTAATGTTGATAGGTCGGAGCTATCGGCGGGCATGTGTCTTCGCCTTTATAGATCCGCAAAACTCATATCTGCATACGGTAAATGGTGCAAACCGCACAGCACAGTAGTCAATATCAACGGGCATATGAAAGCACGAAGCAGCAGATCAATGACAATTCCGTCGTACAACAAAGAATTCAGCACTCCGGGGCGAGCTGTCGATCACTCCCTTGGCCAACCGATGGGCGAGTTCCCGAATATATGCATCACACGTCTCGAACGACTCCACGAGGTTGACACATCGAGGCTCCGATCCTGCAGGGTATCCAAGGACCACCTCGGACAGCTTGACAATAGGAAACGTACGAATCGTATACCAGAAACATGTGTCGATTACCTCTGCGAAGCGCTGGACGCCTGATGGGGGTCGAGAGACCTTGCTGTCCCGACGCCGCTGGCCAAGATTGTCTTCTGCCACCTCGCTTCGTGCGTCGGCGCCAGAGTCAAGAGTCTACGAAAAGCTCACAACAGAAAAGCCGCCCAGGGCAGGACTGCTGCGAGGACGAGATTATGTGCGCATTGTGCGCACAGCACCTCGCCGATTTCAAAGGTTAATCTCAAGCTTGCTTGTGCAAGCAGTCTGCTGGTGCATACGCACCCGTTTGAGAAAAAAAACGCGCAGCCCTCACCTCTCCGAGCTCTAGGGTTGCGCGAGTGAGCCACCCTGCTTGCCGCAGATCTGGATGCGTGCGCGCGCGGGCAGCGTGGTAACCCATTGCTCAATTGCAGAACCGCCTCGCGTTGATGAAGAGCTGCAGCCACGGCGCGGCCTGGTGTATGTGTTGTTGCTGTTGTTGTCGAACTGTTGTTGGCTATTTCTAATTCATAACTGGATATGAGAGAGCGTGTTTCACGGGCGCTTGCCTTGGGAACGATCGGCGGCGCGTTTCGAACTGGGGGATGCCCCCCCCCCCCCCCAACACTCAGCGCCGTCGATCAGAACCACGGGGACTCCCCTCCCCCCGACCCCCCCCACCTCCCGAAACTCCCCACCCCCCCTCCCCCTTCCCAAGGGGAGGGGGGGGGCTCAAACTCCCCCCCCCACAACCCACCACCACCCACCACCACCACCAAACCACCACACCACACCACACCCCCAAACCACCACCACCACAATCACACCACCGCCACCACCACCACCACCACCAAACCACCACCAGCACATCCACTACCACCACCACAACCATCACGACAAACCACCACACCACCACCGCCACCGCCACCACCACCTGAACCCACCACCGCCACAAATACCACCACCACCACCAGAAACCACCGCACCACCACCACCGCCACCATCACCACCACCACCACAACCTGCCACCTCAACCACCACAACAACCACCACCACCACCAACCACACCACCACCACCACCGCCACAACCACCACCACCACCACAACAGCCCACCACCACCACCACCACCACCTCAGAGAGGCCCCTAGAGACGCCCAAGAGCGCCCAGGAGGCTGCACAAATGCCTTGCAGAGGCCCCCGAGGGCCCTTCGACGAGACCCCAAGAGGCATCCAGTAGGGCTCTGACCCGAAACCAAGGCACGGTGGCGGAGAGTCGTCGTGGTCGTCGTCATCGTCGTCGCCGTCGTCCTCGTCGACGCTCCCAGCCGCCGCCGCCCGCCGCCGCAGGCGCCGGCGCTGGCCCAGAAAAGGAAGTCGTCGTCCCCGCCGCCGCCGCCAGCAGCCGCCGAAGGCGCCGGCCCGAAGAGAGGGAGAGAGGGGGGGAAAAGAGGGGGGAGGGGGGTTCGAACTCCAGACTTTTGCTTGGATATTCATAATCCCTGCAAGATGTTCCGATAATATATCATGGCCAATGGGCTCCGCCGATGACACGGGGAAGAAGGGATAATGCCGTCAAGCATACACTAAGGTAACACTGAAGGGAGGAGGCCGGCCCGCCGGCCGACGCACGCGCGCGTGCCGCAGGCTCCCTCCTTTTCCGTTCCCCTACAGCCAAAATAGTATAGCTGCGGAAGCAGAAGTAGTCAGTCAGTATGACGGGCAGTGCACGCGAGGAGAAAGAGCAGGCAGGGCGAAAGGTTGGTGGTGCGGAAGGGGTGCATTGACTACCCCCCCCCTCCATCCAGGGGGGGGCGGGGGGTCCGGTTCAACCCCCCCCCTCCAAGCGACCACAGAACGCGCTCTCTCCTAGATATACATACAAGTGTACACGTACAGCCATATATGTTAAAACCACGCGCGCCTTCGCGCGCCCCATGTTCTAGCGCAAACGCTCCCGATTGCGACTTCGATTTTTGACGACGCCGACGACGACGACAGCATCGACGACGATGACTAGGACGACTGCGACGACTTCGACAACGATGACGACAACGAACGACCACGACGACGGCGACGAGCACAATAATGTCTACAGGATGGTTCCGGAAGCGAGCCGAACTGCCCGAACCGAAGCGGGCCGAACCGAACAGGTGCGAACGGGTCAACGCGGACCGAACTGAACCGAGACGGTCGTTTTAGACACTCGAACCGAACTAAACCGAACCAACTTCCAAGTTGACCCTGAACTGGGCCGCACCTCCCCCCCAAGCCGGACTGAGCGTGACAGCACATGCGACGAGTGCGACGACGCGCATGACGAGGGTCGGCGGGAGACCACCAGATCCTGCTCCTCCTCCCTCCTTCTCCTCCTCCTCCTCCTCAGCAATTTCCCCTCAGGCGCACTGGTGCCGCGCGCGGGGTCCTCGCGCCAAACTTGAAGTGGCAGAGGGGGCATCAATCGGGACGCCGTGAGCATCGCTTGCAGGGAGACCCAGGGTGGTCGCCCGCGCCCGATGGGGTGCACGCAGATCCGCTTTGTGGACTGCGAGACCGGCGTCTGGCCGCCCTACAGCAGCGCGGAATACCACCGCATGCATGCGCCATAGAATTACAACATGGTGTCAAGAAGCGGAGCACCACGTATGGGCTACTGCAAGCGTCGGCTACTTTGTTGGGGTCAGCGCGTGCGAGCAATCATCAGCTGCGTTGCTGAGATAAAAGACGGTACGGCTACGGAACTGTGGGGCGAGCCATCAGCTACAAGGGTAGCAACCTGCCCTTGCGAACAGGAGCGCGGTGCTCTCATCCAGCATGGCGCGAGAGGTGAGCGTGGGAGCGTGACGACAGCTACAATGCAGGTATGGTCTCTTACAAAAAGGCGCGCAGTGGCAGATTCGGGCACTGTGGCAAGACGTGCGCAGGGGAGGGCCACCAGCTAAGATGCCGGCGTCACCTCTTGCGAGAAGGCGCGCAAAGATTGCACGGGGCGCTGCCAACAAGGCGACCGTGAGCGCGGGACACCAGCTACAATGCAGGGACCCGCTCTTTCGACAAGGCATACACAGGAGAGGGTCATCAGCTGCAATGCTGGTATCAGCTCTTTCGAAAAAGTGCACAATGCATTGCGAGACGGTTGAACGTGAGAGCGGGGCAACAAGCTACAATCTTGGTCTCAGCTCTTGCGAGAAGATGCGTTGCGCTCTCATCCGGCATGGCGCGACGGGCGAATGCGGGAACGGGAAACCAGCTGAACTGCAGGCGTGAGTTCTTGCCAGAAGGTGCGGCGCAACGGCAGCTTCCAGCACAGTGACACGGCTAACGCAGGAAAGGGCCGCCAGCTGCAACGCCAGTATCTTTCCTTGCGAGAAGGCGCGCAATGGCCGCATCGGGCGCTGCGAGCAAGGCAACCGTGAGCCCGGGACACCAGCTACAGTGTCGGGCTCCGCTCGTGCGATAAAGCGCTCAGTGGCAGCTTCAGGCACTCTGGAAGAGCAGACACGGGGGCGGGCCATTAGCTACAATGCTGGTATCACCTATTGCGCGAAGATGCGCTGTGCTGAAGGGGCCCTGGGACACACAAATAAACACGCACAAATAGAAATATGACCAATATTTTCCCATATTTTCTTGGTTTTGGTCTTCCCTACCACTTCCCATATTTTCCCATATTTCCTGGGGAATCGACGATTAATTGTGTCTGTGTGTTTTTGTTCCCTCCTGATGTGCGCTCCTCCGGCATGGCGCGACGGGCGAACGCGGGAGCGGGAAGCCAGCTGAAATGCAGGCAATGAACTCTTGCAAGAAGGCGCGCGGTGGCAGCGTCTGGCAGTCGGACCCAGGCGACCGCGGGAGCGGGCCGCCAGCTACAGTCGGGGCGTTGACCTAAGGAACCCCAAACAAGGTACGAGGCCCCTTTTTTCCCATAAGTTACACTTCG